CATGGCTTGGGTCAGGCACACCTTAGTCTTCAAGCTGACATCTTTGCTCTTCAACACTTTAAAAAGGTCTTGTGCGGAAGATTTGCCTAATGCAACACATCGTTTGATTTCTTGACTGCTGCTTCCATGAGTATTGATAGTTGATCCAAGAAGAATAAAGCCCTTGACAACTTCAATCTTTTAAGAATGTTGTTTATTGGTCCAGTGGTGAGGATTTTTGTTTTTTTTACATTGAGATGTAATCCATATAGAAGGCTGTACTCTATGATCTTCTTCAGTAAATGTTTTAAGTCCTCTTCACTTCCAGCAAGCAAGGTTGTATCATCTGCATATCGCAGGTTGTTAATGAGTCTTCCTCCAATCCTGATGCCACATTTTTCTTCATAAAACCCAGCTTCTCGGATTATTTGCTCAGCCTACAGGTTGAATAAATATGGTGAAAGAATACAACCCTGTTGCACACCTTTCTTAATTTTAAACCATTCAGTGATCCCATTTTCTGTTTAAGCAACTGCCTCTCGGTCCATGTACAGATTCCTCATGAGCACAGTTAAGTGTTCCAAAATATTCATACTTCTCAATGTTGTCCATAGCTTATCATGATCCACACAGTCGAAAGCCTTTGCATAGTCATTAAAGCACAGGTAAACATCTTTCTGATATGCTCTGCTTTCAGCCAAGATCCACTGAACATCAGCAATGATATGCCTTGTTCCACAGCCTCTTCTGAATCCCACGTGAACCTCGGGAAGTTCTCTGTCAATATATGCTTGCAGCCATTTAATTGCAAATTGCTTGCACCACCTGGAACTGGTTAACTTTGCTGGTTCTACTGCCAGCAGCTACCCTAACTCTGCTTGCCCACCAAACAGAACTTTTTAACTGCAGGAAGCGTGGTCTAGCTGAAAATAGTTCTGGCAACCAGAATATGAAAGGGTTAAACTAAACGGTTGTTCTACCACAAGTCAAAACCACATGTGCTCTGGAAGAATCTGTAATGGTACACACATCCTGTCTATAAAATTGTTTGATAACGTTCACAGTGACCAAGCCTGAGTCTTTTCTTCTGGGCTTTCCTGTGGGCTGCCAGTTATGGGAATGGCCAACCAAACGACCACTCTGGGAGATGCAGTTACTGATGACTTCTCCAGTATTGATTTCCATGAGGGAAATCAGAGGCATATGGGTTTTGAGGTGCAAAGCTTGGGCAGTCAAGAACAGTACTGTGCCTAGTCTCAGTTATCACTATTTTTCAAGTACAGCCAATAACTCATTCATTCATTCATTCATTTCCATTCAGCAAATATGAATCGTGTACTCACATCCTGGAGCTCTGGTGTGGCACTGTGGGTTAATGCACTGGACTGCAAAAAGTCGGTTTGAACCGCAAGGTCAGAGGTTCAAGCTCACCAGTCACTCCCTGGAAACCCTATGAGTTGGAATCGACTTGACGGCTTTTAACAACAACAACAACAACTCACATTCTGGTTCAAACCCACCAGCTATTCTGTGGGAGAAAATCTGAGTTGGCAAAGATTTACAGCCTCGGAAACCCTAGGGTTCTACTCTGTTCTGTAGAGTAGCTATGAATCAGAATCCACTCAATGGCCATAGATTTGGTTTGGTTTTTAATCGCCCACATCCTGTGCTTGCAGCACTGAGTTAGGAGCAGAGCAGGCCTCCTTCCTGTCTCAGGAGAGAGTCATCGAGAACTAAATCCAGCCAGGCTTGGATCACTACTATCAGTTGCCATGGAACTGACTCTGACTATGACTCATAGTGATCTGGTTTTTGGAGCCCTGCATGGTGCAAACTGATAACGTGCTTGGCTGCTAACTGAAAGGCTGGGGGTTAGAGTCCAACTTGAGGCACCACAGAAGAAAGGCCTGATGACTGACTTCAGAAAAATCAGCCACTGAAAATCTTATGGAGATGGGATAGTCATATATATTCTAGAGGGTGGTGTCAGCCCACTTTGAGATGACTCACTCAGTCTGAGTTGCCTAAATTGCTCAAGATCATGGAGACTGTAAGTGTTCATGAAGTCAGGATGCAAATCCAAGCCTTCCTAGGCCAAGTCTGTGCCCCCATTCCTCCACTATTTCATGTTTCACTCACTAAAACACCAGAGCAAGGAGTCCCATTTGAGGGATGTGGGTTCTTTCTTTTTCAAAGAACTTGCCAAAATGTATCAGGAAAGCTGAGGGGGTCTGTGCATCAGGTGTGTACAGTGGGGAATGAAGGAAGAAACTATGGGAGCTGCTGATACATCTAATCCTCTCTTTCCAGCCCTCTCAGGAATTATGCTGTGCCTTTGATCAAGACTTTCAGTAGCTTCACATTGGGCAATTAAAGTCAAAACCCTTTTAGCTAGGCTCTCGTGCAATGTCACAATGGAGTCTCTATCTTCCTTTCTAGGAGTCTCTGGGTGGTTCAAATGGTTAAGTGCTGGACTACTATCCTAATGGTTGGTGGTTCAAACCTATCCAGAGGCACGTTGGAACACAGACCTGGTGATCTGTTTCCCTAAGGTCACATAGCCTGGGGCAGTTATACTCTGCACACAGGGGCTGCTATGAGTCAGAGCTGACAATGGAACTAACAAACACCGCCTCCCTTTCTAGCTTCTTTTCTTATTTTCCTGCCACACAAAGCCCCCACACTCCAACTGCATACCTTACTTACTCCTCCCACCCAAAGGTCTTGGTTCAGGTTGTACCCACTGCCTGGAGTATTCCCTTCAACCTGTTTTCCCAGGCTCCCAACCAGGGCTGTCCAAATGTCCTTTCTTTCATGAATATGCCAGCTGGAAGTAATTTCTCTTTTCCCAGGAATTCTGTACACTCATTTGTTGTACAAAAGTACACTTGCTAGGACTTCAAGCCGTATTTCTCCTACTAGATGATTTAAGACGCTGGACATTAGGAACAAGGACATATTTCTTTATAGTCTCAGTTCCTAGCATATGTGTACGGTGTTTTGTTCACATACAATAAATGATGATTAAAAAAAAAATGAATGCCAACTCCTGTATGTTAGAGTACTTTTATACACAGTTTACAGGAAGGATCAATGAGCATAGAGTTCCCTGGCTGACCCAAGACTAAGAACCACTGGGACATTTCCCCAACATCATTCACATTCAAAAAATTATTTTAAATGGTCACTCAACCTTCATCCTCTTTTGGTAAATCTCCCACATTGTTATTGTTGTTAGGTGTGGTCCTTAGAGCGACTCCATGCATAATAGAATGAAACACTGCCCCATCCTGCTCCATCTTTCATATATGTTGTTGTGGTGTGCCATGGAGTCGGTTCCGACTTATTGCAACACTGTACAGGGTTTCCGAGGCTGAAAATCTTTACGGGAGCAGAAAGCCTCATCTTTCTCCCAAAGAACAGCTGGTAGTTTCGAACTGCTGACCCTGTGGTTCACGGCCTGATTCGTAACCACTATGCTACGAGAGCTCCTTATTTTTTATATATATATATATATAGAGAGAGAG